TTTTAAAACGAACGAGAACGGGGCGAGGAGATAAAGGTCAAGTTTCTTCCCTATGCGGGAAGTTCTAAGGATGTCGACATCTGGTGCCAAAATTGGACCAAGAATGTTAGTTACTTTTTCTCTGATATTTTCGTTGGGACATTCTTCTATTCCTTTCAGGATCAGGTCTCTGCATTGTGAATTTGTTCCTAAGACTTCACTACAGTACAACAAAATTGGTTTTACTAAAGTGTTAAACAGGTCGAGGGCAAGTGGGATGGAAGAGTTGGAGTTTGATGATAAGAGTGATTTTAGTTTGAATGAAGCCATTAAAGCTTTCAATCTTAGTTGTTTTATAGCTCTATCAAATGAACCTGACGGGGTTACATCTACTCCTAGATATGTATAGTGGTTAGTAATTTCTATGTTTTGGCCCTGTGTTTTATATGGTTGGTGTTGGTTTTTGTTCATCCGCCCGTGTTTTGAAAATATCATAACTTTGGTTTTGTCTTTGTTTATTGATTACTTCCACAAGGAACAGAATTGGTCGAGTATTCGCAGGCATTCTTTGAGTCCAGCTTCAGATTTGGATACAAGTACAAGATCATCCGCCCATAATAAACTGCTAATAGCGGTGTCATTTAGAAAGATGGGGTCGCATGAAGGCGAGTTTAGTAGACCTGGAAAGTCATTTATATATAAGTTAAACAACAGAGGACTTAAACTACAACCTTGACGTACACCACAGGTTGATTGAAAGTAGGGCGAGAGACCATTTGACATTTTGACACAATATTCTACATTTCAGTACATTGACTGTATGGTTTTGAAGAAGTTCCCCCCAACACCTGTTGATAGTAATTTGTAAAACAACCCATTTCTCCAGACGGAATCAAAGGCCTTCCTAAAATCTACGAAACATGTATATAATTTACCTCCGGGTGTGGAAATTTGTTGATCTATAAGGGTTTTTAGTACGAAAAATTTTCGTACTAAAAACCCTTATAGATCAACAAATTTCCACCATCCACCATCCACCAACAAATTCCCATCATCCCTTGCGAAATATCTGCAACGAGCCTCGCTTTCATGAGGGGCTTCGTTTCCATACCTTCCACAACATGTAGTTTTGATACCATGGCAAACTAGAGTTCCACGATCTCATACCTTCGCCAAATGATGTTAGCTTTTATGAATAAGAACTTATATACAATGTATTAATCCCCCTGATTATGCAAATAGGATCCGCAATTGCATGAATTACATCTGTTGATCATAATCTCCAACAGTCTTATTTTAACAAAGAATGCCATTATAGCATTTCCTCATATATTATGCAAATGAGGTCCTTATTTGAATAAGTTATGTTAAATTATGTTCACCTTCACTAAACTTCAAACACCCCAAGTATAAAATTCCAGGCAGTTACCACTATGCAATTATAACATTTTCTCATTAATTATGCAAATTAAGTCTTCATTTGCATAATCGATATCTGCCTGTGTTTCTCTCGTTGTTAATAACATATGTCGCAAGCTTGAACTTCCTATCATGGAATGCAGCTGATTAATAGAATTTCCTCATTAATTATGCAAATTACATCCATATTTGCATAATTGTAATATCATTATGTCAAGCATTACTCAAGCTACCTACATACCAAAAATCATGATGATCCATCAAT